TGAATTTTAAAATATGTCCTTAAGATTTTGTGAATTTCTTCTCGGTCTGTTGTAATGTTTCTCTTTTCATCACTAAATTGCTTATTTGTACTCTCTCTCTCTCTCTCTCTCTCTCTCTCTCTCTCTTTTGGTTAATTTGGCTAAAGGTTTGTCAATTTTGTTAATCTTTTTCAAGGAACCAGCTCAGCCCAGCTGTGTAGTGCTTGGTGTTCAGTTTTGGGGAACACTATGTTTTATGTACAGTTCAGGTGAAAGAAATGGTCTCAGTTCAGCTAGATGTAGGTTCAACTCTTGAGTTTCCATTTTAGGACTGACTACAGCAGGTCTTCCTGTATCAACGGGTTGGAATGGAACTTCTACATGAGCAGGTTAGCTGGTTGGTTAGGGTGGGAGTTCATAGGTCTAGGATGAACATAGTTCAGATGTTGTGCACAGGGAGGTCTCAGGGATGGAGTTCCAGACCGTAAGTCTGGGGCAGGTGAGGATCATAGAGACCCAGGCTGACTGAGAGTTGGGACGGCAAGAATTGACTCACTCTGCCGAAACAAAGTGCGTGCAGTTCTAGGATGGGATAGGATCCCTGTGACCTGAGGAAATCTGAGAGCTAAGAAGCCAGGGTCCTAGGGACTCTTAGGTTGGAGCTCCAAATCATCTCATACCCTAGTTTTTAAACCCTCTTTATCTCACACTTGAAATCTCTTCCCTGAGTGATTCTCCTGGATTAATAATGACATGAGTGAGATTCAGCAACATTTCTTTTCTGTTGTGAGTCTATAATTCTCACAAGTAGGCTTCTATAAGCCATATAGCTAGAACTGGACCTTGTGAAAGTCAAGAACTCCACTTCAAGCATCTATCTAGTAAACTGCAAAACCAAATTGGAAGAGTTATATGTGTTTTCTTCTACTGGGAGCTCAGTTATTTTTAGAGGTCATGGACAACATGGAGATCTGTTTCCTTAGAGTTGACACATGTCACCGAGACCAACATTCAAGTCCCTAGACCAGTCAGAGAGTTAAGAAAATAGAATGTAGGTCATCAACATTGTGAAGGGTGGTAATGGAAGAAAGATAGTAAAGCTACTGGAGAAAGGAAAGTTCTAGAATCCAAAGCTTGATGGGCAAACTCAGGCTTCAAAGGGATTCCAGTGGCCAATTGAAATCCCATATGATTATAAAATAACGGCCAGGAGATTGCTTAGCAGGTAAAAGTACAAGACTCACATGGAAAGGGAAAACTGACTTTCACATGTTATCCTTTAACCTCTACACATGTGCCATGGTACACACACATATACATATAAAATAAAATTTAAAAACAGAAAACAAAACTCTAATAAAATAAAGTGGGATGTGGGAAATAATGGTAAAATTGTTTATTATATACATATATGGATTTTTAACAAGCATATTGTTATGTACAATTTTATAAAGAAGGGAAAGTCTGATTTTTTTTTTATATACTTGACCCATTCAGACACTCGGACAGCCTTCTCCCTTTAGTTTCCTTTTTGTTCCAGAAAGCAAAAGCATTCTTGGTTCTTGTTTCCCCATGAAACACACAGACTCTACTCAGAATGTAAAATTCTCAGGTTTCCAATATAGTATTGTGGCTGCAGAGTGGGGACTAGAGAAACAGCATCAAGATTAACATGTGAAAGAAACCAGTTGACGAAGGAAGACTAGCAACCTTTCCTACTTGGGCTTCATCTTAAGAATAGAGCATGTGTGCAAAAGGAGAGAGGTGGGATAGGGGTGCTATGTAAAAGTCTTAAGGGTCCTGGACTTCCTGGCCCTGTGCTTTTGAACACATGCTTTTACTTCAGCTCACTAACAGACTCCTATTCTCTGGAGTGTTTTTCCTTTGTTAACAAACTATCTCTATTTCTATTTCCATCCTGGTGCAATCCTTTGTCCCAGAACACAAGAGCCTAGAATCAAGAGCCCTCTGAGCTCAGACCTGCATTTTTAACAGGATGATATGGGTGAGAGGTTTAATGCACCAGTTGTTAGAAGTGATGGTCATATAGTACAGTGAGCCTAGTGGAGCAGTGTTCCAAACAGTACAGGAATGCAGAGTTCAAACACGACGTTTTCCCTTGTGAGTAGGATGGGTACGTCTGTGAATAAATGTAGATTTGTTTCAGTTCCTGCTTTAAATGTCACCCCTTGAGGTGTGTGTCTCAGCCTGTAGGAAGCAGAGTTTTTGCTGCCTATCCCGGGGTCTGACCACGTAAACCTCCTGCAATCCTGGTCCTGACAAGAACCACACCTTCTTTGTTCTTCCCCCTCCCTGAGACACTGGGGCATCTCTTCCTCTTCCTACGTGCATCATTCAAGACCAGCATAGCTGCTTCCTCTGAATCTGGGTCTTCCCCTCTGAACCAGGTCAGTCTCCACTGTGTGTGGATTCACCCTGCATTTGCCTTTCCCAGTGTCGATGGGTGGCTGTTGTATACGCCACTGGTCTGTAAAGCTCCATTGCTGCTGTGGAGACTTGGGCAGTGGCAGAGTGCAAGCAATCAGAAGAGAACAGGAACATGCAATGTGCACATCTGCACACGTGGAGCATTTTAGTAGCACCTGAGAAGCTGAAACATGGGAGATTAGGATGCTTGGGCTCACCTTAACATACACTGAGCAGCAAACTATGGACTCAGAGTGAAACCCCATCATTTCAGTGAAAGGTGGAGGAGGGACCTCTACTAGAGTGATAGGTTATGAACTCAAAACCCTTCTAGGTAACCCAAACACACACACAAACATTGTGTCTGGTAAGATGGTATGGACGGTACCATTAGCAATTTATTTGTCTTAGCACAATTACTTAATAGATTATTCATGTATTTATTTGCTTGTTTATTTATTCTTTGCGAATTTAATGCATGTGTGCAACGTATTATTAACCATAACTATCCTTTATCTTTTCCCTTCAACTCCCCTCAGACTCCCTCAATAATTTTTGTTTGCGTGTATGCTAACATGTTTGTGTGTATGTGTGCATGCACATGGGTACATGCCCTTACATGTGTGTGCCTTTGTGAGGAGGTCAGAGGTAGATATCAGATGTCTTTCTCAGTTGTCCACTGTATTTATTTTTCATGTTTAATTTTAATTATGTGTATCTGTACATGTCTGTGTGAGTGAAGGTGACTGGAGTCCAGAAGAGGGTGATGGATTACCTGGAGATGGTGTTACAGATGGTTGTGAGCTTTCAAATGTGGGTTCTGGGAACTGAACTCAGGTTTTCTGCAAGAACAGTACATACTCCTAACCACTGAGCCAACTCTCCAGCCCCATGTCCACCTTATTTTATGAGACAGGGTCTCTCACCCAGCCTGGAGCTTGCCAGTTTAGCTTAGACTGGCTGGCCAGGGAGCTCAGGAATCCTCCTGTCTCTGCTTTCCTAGCTCTGGGATTACAGGTACTCCTAGATTTTTATAGGGATGCGGGGATCTGAACTCAGGTTGTTCTGTACACAGCATGCCCTTTTACCCAGTGAGCCATCTCCTCAGTCCTGAAGTACCTTTTACTAATGGACACAATTATCTGTGTCTTAAAGAGATAAAGTCGCAAAGCTGACCGCTATAACTCCTGTACTCTATTCGCCCATGATAAGGGTAGTGAACTGCCATGGGCTCCACTAGTTTGGAGTGAAGCCAAGTCAGACAACAGATGAAGACACCAGACTGGGGTGGGAAGGTTCCAAAGAAAATAAGAGTTTGTGAAAACCTCTCTGCCTCTAGGCAGTTCCTTTCTACTGTCTGGAATTTCAGAGGCCTTTTGGTTAGAATTACTTTATACAGTAAGAATAGATTATGACATTATACTTTTAAAGTAATTACAGAGGGCATGGTATTTCTTCTGATTTAAAATTTTCATTTATTAAGGATAATTCTATATCCTTGATCAGGAAAAATACTTAATTTATTATAATGTATGCTCAAGCTGAGAATTTTAATTGCTTAGTAAATTCTGAAAATTCTTTGCTGCTGGATTTCAAATAAGAATAATCCCACCCTGTCCACACAGTCTTTCACCTCTTCTTCACCCCACTATGATGGTTTATGATGAATTGCTTCCAACTTATAATTAAATAGCCTTACATTTTTCTATTATAAAAGTAATAATATTTTGCAATCCAAATTTTTATAATAAAATTAGCAAAAGAATGTGAAAGTAACCTACAATAATGCAGCCTAGTAGCTGTGGAGATTGCTCAGTTGATAAAGTGTTTGCCATGCAAACATGACTACCAGAATTCAGATACTTAACACCAAAGTAAAAATTGTGGCTCAGTGACATGATTCTCTGATCCCCACACTGGGGACGTGGTAGCAGGAGGATCCCTGGAACTCACTGTCTGTTCAGTCTAGCAGACATGGTGAGATCCAGGATCAGTGAAAGACCCTGTCTCAAAAAATGTGGTAGAGGACTAGGGATGTAGCTCAATCAGTAGAGAGAGCTTGTGTACCCCACATAAGGCTCTGCATTTAATTCAAAGCACTGTATAAAACCAGGCATGGTACAGTCATGTAATCCCAACACTCAGGAAATGGAGGCAGGAGGAAAATGAGTTCAAGGTCTGGGGCTGGAGAGATGGTTGTTAAGACCAAGAGATCAAATGGTTCTAAATGTCAGAAGCAAATTATCAAGAACAAATCATAAGAGGTTATTATAAGCCAGGCTTCAGACCAAGAAAAGCCTGATACAGGTACTTATGGTATTATCATCCTATCCCCTCAAGCACAGGATGGCACCTCACTAAGGAGAGTTTTTACCTCTGTCTGGTGATCAGCTGCCCATGGTTCAAGTGTATGAGGGCTACTTATAAATGAATGATTCCTCTGGGTCTTCTTAGGTTACATAGGTCTCCTGTTGAGAGGGATCTTCCAAATTTCAAGAATACTTTTGTGCAATGGAGGAAACAAGAGGGGAAACGGGAATAGCAGCTTTGAGGAAATGCACTCATGTTCCTTTACCTCTTCTCTCTCCGCCCAGAATCCGATGTTGCTGACTTCGATGGCCGGAGTTCACTTCTCTACAGGTTCAATCAGAAAATGATGAGCACTCTAAAAGACGTGATCTCCCTGAAGTTCAAGAGCATGCAAGGAGATGGTGTCCTGTTCCATGGAGAAGGGCAACGTGGAGACCATATCACCCTGGAGCTCCAGAAGGGCAGACTTGCCCTGTACCTGAACTTGGGTAGGTCAGACTCTGCCCATTCCTTTTCTTTTTGATACCTGTGCGTGTTACATGTCTGTGTGTGGGAGTGTGTGTATGTATGTTTGCACACAAGACTGAAGTCAATGTCAAGTGTCTTCCTCAATAGCTCCCCACCTTATTTTTTTTTAATTTTTCTTTTATGTGTATGAGTATATTGCCTGCATGTAGGTAAGTGCACCTGTGTCGTGCAATGCCCACGGAAGACAGAAGAGGCCATCAGATCCCCTGGAACTAGAGTTATGGACAGTTGTTAGCTGCCATGTGTGTGCTGGGATTCAAAC